TAATACCATGACAACTAAAGTAACATAAAGTGTCATTATGTGAAGCTTTTTAAATAATATTAGTCCATGTCTGTTAGCTTTGAGGCTCATTTACAGTACTGGTCAAACGCAGTACTGGTTAAGGAGTTTTTAATTTTTTTTATTTTTTATTATTACATTAATACTTTTATTCAGCAAGGGTGCATTAAAATAATAAAAAAGTGACAATAAAGGCATGTATAATGTTACATAAAATGTCTATTTTAAATAAATGCTGTCCTTTTGAACTTTCTATTCATTAAATAATCCTATAAAAAATGTATTAGTGTTTCCACCAGAATATGAAGCAGAAAAACAGTTTTCATCATTGATAATAAGCAGAAATGTTTCTTGAGCAGCAAATCAGCATATTAGATTGATTTCTGAAGGATCATGTGACACTGAAGACTGGAGAAATGCTGCTGAAAATTTGTATTAGTGTTTCCACCAGAATATGAAGCAGCACAACAGTTTTCATCATTGATAATAAGCAGAAATGTTTCTTGAGCAGCAAATCAGCATATTAGATTGATTTCTGAAGGATCATGTGACACTGAAGACTGGAGAAATGCTGCTGAAAATTCAGCTTTGCATCACAGGAATAAATTATATTTTAAAACATATACAGACAGAAAACAGTTATTTTAAGCTAAAACAATATTTCACAACATTACAGTTTTTACTTTATAAAAACATTAAACTCCAACACCAAACTTTTGAAAAGTCGTGTATATGCTAATATAATAAATAGTGGAAATATTTATTTATTATAATAAATTATTATAATATCATTTATTATAATAAAATTATTCAAATTTCTAGAATTAAAATTCCCTAGCTGTAATTAGCACCTATTGACAAGAACTTCAAAGGTCCCGCCCACTTAGTGATTCAATAGGAAATACATCAACGCAGGAAAAAAAAAACTGCACTTGTCAAGCCATTTCATGGTGTCTTCTCAATGCAATTAGACACACTATTAAATTTGGCATAATTATTAAACGTTACCGTTAGTTTTGCATCGTCAGGGCTGAGTCTGTCTTTGGGCCGCAGTTTTACTTCTCCTTGAGTGCTTGGTTTGTCTTGAGTCTCTGCTTGTAGCATCTTCTCTGGTCCCGCAGCCGTCCCGTCTGATGATCCCTTGTCCGTTTTCGCAATATTTTCACGCCCCGCGTGATCTTCCACCTTCTCTTCTATTTGACTTTCCAGAGTTACATTCCGCTCCTCATCTATTTCTGCCTGCATTGCTTCACTTTCACCTTTTCCTATTTGGACATGGTTGTGATCATGTGAACTTCCCTCTGTGGCTTCTGTAATGTCATCCTTTGTGTTTTCATCAGTCGTCCTAACTCTCAGTACGGTCCTTCCTCTCTCTATGTTGTTTATCACATCCGAAGGTTCATCCCCCTCTTCGAGGATGAGAAGAGGGTCCAACTGTTTGTCCACCGAGGTTTCAACTTTGACCTCGGAGCAGTTCATCGTAGCTTCTGCTGAGCCCTCCGTGGAAGAAAATATGAGAGCCTATAAAAAGTATGAAGTTAGAGATCCCTCATTTCTATATATTGAACAAGTCGAGACACTGAACAGTCATGCATGTAATCAGCAGCATATATATCTAAAGTATGTTTATCATTTACAATGCCACTTTTTTAACTAGCGTAGTCTGTAGTAGAACGTGACATATGACAACTAATCTTAGATAAAACGTTTTCAGCGCACAACATACTAGTTACTATAATATAGTTATAACATGTAACTGTACTTATTTTGACTCCGATTTAGATAGTGGGTGACATTTTACGGCCCTGCTTACCTTCTCAACCTTAGACGAGTTAAAATGAGGTCCTCTCAGCGGAATGTCAAGTAAAGCCCACATGCATCTCACCTCCGTGTACGAACATGCATTAACTCCCACATATCTCGGCTAAACTTTGAGTGTTTCTCACAAACGAATCTGAAAAGAGCTTAAAGCTGACACGATGCATCGACAACTTCACTGCTTCACAGTCTGCTTGCTCTGTCTCTTCCTGTTCCTCTCTTATGGCCCTGATCCACCCCTATTTATCTGGCCCGTTTCAGTTTATCTAGTGGAATAGGTTTATGTATAGGAATGCTCTGTAGAAGTGCATGATACAATCTGCTCCATTTAAACTCACTTTTATTCAAATGCTAAGCTATTTTATAATCATACGTATGGGAAATGTGTGCTGACGCTCAACAGCTCTGAAAGTCTTGCATGTTGAAACTGGCGGCCTGTTTGTTTAACACAGTCTGTGGTTTTGCAGATTTCCTGTTGACTACCAGCAAAACGAGAAGTTAGACTTGGTGATAGAGAACAAGACTTGAGCATAGAGGAGAAGACAATTGAGCGACTAGAATTTAAAATAAGATACTTGACATTCATGTTCCATTTAGCACCAAGAAGCATGTCCTGTTTCTCCAGCTGTTGATTATACTGCAGACCTAAAGCCTCCAGGCCTTGACATGATGACATGTAAACTATGCACTTGCAGACAGGAATTTTGTATATGTTGAGCAACTCAGTGCATGCAAGAATATCACATTTCATAATTCAGAAGTAAAACTGTGCCTTAATAAAAGAGTGAATATCATGAAAATGAGTTCACATTTCACCCTTAAAACAAACAAACAAATAAATTAATGAATAAATAAATAAGAAAATGAATAAACTTATTTTAAGAGGATTATTTTATATTATCTTAATTATTTTAATTATAATTAAGCCAGTTTCCACACTCTAAAAAATGCTGGGTTAAATACAACCCAGTGCTGGGTAAAATAGGGACAAACCCAGCAATTAATTTGTTTTGACCCAGCGGTTGGGTTACTACCCAGAAGGTTGTAAACATTTAACCCAACCGCTGGGTCAAAACAGCCCAATTGCTGGGTTTGTCCCTATTTTACCCAGCACTGGGTTGTATTTAA